AAATTTTATCAGAAAAAGCCATTCTTAGGGGTGTAAAAATTTCCCGACTTAGTCGGGAATTGACATCGGGAGTCGGGGTCGGGATCGGGAGGCCAAAAACTCGGGAAATTTCCCGAGTCGGGTGTCGGGAGTCGGGATACCCGAACATCACTAGGCCAGACTTGACACCGCCGCAGAACAGACCGATAAAACATTTGCTTGAATAGTGCGGCTCCGAATTAAGTTAAGCCTGGCTCTTTGCTTAAATTCGATAGGGTCGGATCCGCAGCTACATATATAGTTTCCAGTACTCGCCAAGTCATAAACACACCCATGAAATATCTTAGGTAGAGCTAGGAATTTTGAAAAAACCGGGTCCGGGTCCGGGTAACGGGTTCTGAAAAATGGACCGGCCGGGTTTCGGGTCCGGGAAACCGGAAAACCCGTTCCTGGTTTCAACCCGGTATCTTTAAAAAACCCGGGAAAACGGACCCGGAAACCGGGAAACGGGTCCGGGTCCCGATCAGACATGCACGAAACTCCAAAATTTTTTCAGACGAAACGAAACGAAACAAAATTTTTTAAAAATCGTTTCGTTAACGAAACGAGACGAAACAGTATAAATTTAGCGAAACGAAACGAAACAAAACGACACATTTTAATTTTCAAAAAATCTAATAAAAACGGTTTTATTTTCTTAATTATTCGATTTTAGACACGTTAATAGGCCAGTTATGGCCTATAATTGATCTAATAGCTTAGTGGGACCTTAAATTTTGGTCCCAGGCTACTCATAATTCACTATATCAGCCTTAATTCCACCAAATCGACTTTAATCGAATTATGTGTTGAGAATATGTGTATATCAGGGACCTCCGACCCGTTTCCTGATTCCCTAAAATCGGGAATTAATTTTGTCGGAAATTACTGTCCCCTAAACCCGTTCCTGATTTCCGACATTTTCTAAAATTTTTTAAACCCTCCAAATCCACCGATACCTCTTTTACTCTCTCTCAATTTCCTATACCACCATTGCTCCCGCCAAATCCAATGTTTTTCTCAACTCAGATATTTTTGTTAATAACAACGCCCATGATTAGGGTTGCCAAAATGGACCGACTCGGACCAAAAGATCGAAGCGGGCTAAGATATTTGGCCCGAAAAGACTCCTCTGGCCCGACTCGATAGAAACAGGCCCGAAAAAAGACAACCATATTCATGATCATTGCCATCAGTTGCGTTTTCTTTTATTGAAACTAAACTTTATTGAAACTCTTGCGCCTGCTCTGAATGGTAGAGCTGTCCGAGACCAAAATTTTTCCAAGACTCAAGACTCAAGACCCAAGACAAAATTTTTTCCAAGACCAAGACTCAAGACCAAGACCAAAACTCCAAGACTCAAGACCAAAAATCAAGACCAAATTTTTAAATCCCATAGGTCAAATTTTTGGTTTATTTTTTGTTATTTTGATACGATCAGTCAACTTCAGCACAATTATCTATAATTTCGAAAAATTTATGCGAAATTCAAAGAATTTCGGGGAATTTATTCGTGTGGAAAATCAATAAAATAGGTTATTATTTCAGAGGATTTGGGTGGATTAACGGGATATTAGTGATATCAAAGGATTAAGAGGGATTGCCGTGGGATTTAGTGAATTATGAGGGATGTCGTGGCATTTTACGTCTGGAACGCCAAGGTAAAGCCAAAATTTTGGCGATACCCAACGTTAGCCCCCCCCCCATTCGAAATCGACACCCTGGCTACGCCCTTGGATTAAGGAGGATATCGAGGTTTAAAGGGGAATTTAAGTGGATTATGAGGGATCAAAAGGAATAGTATGAAGTTGGGGGGCCTGGGTGATTAGGTGATGGTGGCTGCTGATATCCATTCTCTATTTTATCCCTATCTTTTTGCGCGCATGCGAAAATTTGTACAATTTTGGAAGGCCAAGAAGCCAGAATTCTTTATTTTCCAGCGCCGCAGGCGAAAATTTTGGGAATTATGAAGGCCGAGAAGCCAAAAATCTTCCTTTTCCTGCGCCGCAGGCAAAAATTTTGAGAATTTTGGAAGGCCGTATGCCACAAAAATTCACTTTTTCAGCGCCGCAGGCGAAAATTTTTTGAATTTTGGGACTCAAGAAGCCAGATTTCTTCCATTTTCTGCGCCGCAGGCGAAAATTTTGAGGATTTTGGATGGCCAAGCACTAGGTCCAAAAAGGCCAAAAAACCAAGACCAAAAAATAAAACCAAGACAAGACCAAGACAAACACCCCAAGACCAAGACCAAGACCGAAAAAAAACCAAGAAAAGTCTTGGTTCCAAGACCAAGACCAAGAGTCTCGGACAGCTCTACTGAATGGCATTAAGAGGTAGATCATTCTATGCCTAATCTATCATATTAAAAAAACAAAATCAAACGAGAAATTCAAAAAATATAGTAAATTATGCGCCATAGGCGCTTAAAATCCAGATTTTAGCGCCGCAGGCAAAAATTTTTTGAATTTTGAGCATCAAAGGGGGAAATTTTTCAGTTTTTGGTAATATTTTGGTCTAAAAAATGGGTAATGTTTCGTTAACGAAACAGAGGTGTTTCGTTAACAAAACGAAACGAAACAAACTAAAAAGTGTTTCGTCACGAAACGAGACGAAACAGGAAAAAACATAACGAAACTAACGAAACAACGAAACGAAACGAAACGTTTCGTGCATGTCTGGTCCCGATCCCGTTCTTAGCTCTAATCTTAGGTCTATACAAGAGTCTCAAGGCCAATATAAAAGATAGATAGAGCACTCTCTGACATTAAGTGTCACTAATTTTTTAATTTAAAAATATTATAGTAAATTCATTTTTACTATTTCTCTTTCAGATAAAAGATTAAACAATAAAGAAATTCGTCAGAATAGTTTGATGATTTTATTAAATTTGCGAACATTTTTGGAACTGTACAAACCATTATCACATAAATTGGGATATTTTGATAGAAATTATGACGAAAAAATTGAAACAATAATTGACAAAATTCAACTGTGTATAAATGACCATAAAGATTGTATTAATCGCACAAGAAAATTTAATAGCCACAAATATATCAATAAAATAGATAAATTTGAAGGTGGATGGAATGGAATTATTAAAAAATTTGTAGAAGATAAAATTGGTATTGAAATTGTAAAAGTTTCAATAGTTGAAGGTCTTCAATACATTGGGGTTGATATGAAGATGTTCGATGCTTTAGAAAGGGAGGGGAAGAGGTATAAAACAAAAATGTTAACAGATGAAGTAAGCTAATTTATATGAAGTTCTTCAAAACTATACTTGAATTTCTCAAAAAATATAGAAAATAACCCTCTTAATCTCTCGTGTTCTTCTTAATCCTTACAATCGTCGATAACTATCACAGATTCTTTTATCACTATAACTCTTTATGTAAACTCATGATTTCACTCTTGATGATCAAAAGCCGAACGATATCCTTCTTAATCTTAAATCGGGAATCATGTGATTTTGAAGGATTGAGGAGCTTCTTTGCAATCATGGAAGGTCAAAAAGTAAACTTTTATAGAGCCGCAGGCGAAAATTTCTGAATTTTCATATGTCAATTGTAAAAAGATTGAAATTGGCCAAAAAATACTTCTTTTAATAAAAATTATTCCCAGCTCATAATAATTAGTATTTAAAATATTTTTTTAAAGGAAAGAAAGATAAGAGCCAAAATTATTGAAATGTTTTATTACGGGGATAAACCTATTGGACTTCAGTCAAAGATTGCACGGGATCTTGGAGTAGATCGAAAATATGTTTACTATACTATTGAAAGGTTTAAAATGTATGGAACAATAGAGAACATTCCATTACCAGATAAGAAATACCGTAGAAAAAAGATGAGATTTTCAAGTGATAATTAAAGTGATATTTTGGATATTTTTCGATAACAAAGCAAGTTAACCTATTTTATTTGTTGAACCGATTTTGATGTTTTTATAATTTTTTCACTTTGTTGTCGCCTATTTTGGATATTATTCGATAAAGTATTATTTGTAAGAAAAATTCTTAACAAACTTAAAAATTTCAAAAATTTTATCAATTATATTCTATAAACCCATAAAAATTTTGAAATTTTGGCAAATTAAAATATCTTGAAAAATTCAAAGCATAAATGATCTGAAAACTCATATCATCTTCAGAAATTCATCCAAAAAATTCGGATCATCTAAAAAACTCAAATCTAACTCATCCATATCATCCTCCTTTTGAATATGAGTTCCATCTTCTTCTTCTTGAATAATTCCTCGATCTAACTGCACGTCTTTTTTAGGAACACAAGGCTCTTTTCCTTTATCTTCACACTCATGCATCGAATTGACCAGAGAAGCTCCTTCCCCGCTATCAAATTGACTGTTTGCCATTTTAGAACTTTCATTTTCTGAAATTTCTTCAACATTCTTCTTTTTTAGCCGGTATTTTCGACTACGTTCTAGTATCTTTTCTTTATTATTTTGATAGTACATTTGATCATGTACACGCCTAGATTCTTTATTATTTTTATAATAACTTCTTTTATATCCTTGGAACCTTTCCTTATTCTGCTGGTAGTAATTTTTATTTTGTCCTTTTCTCGTCAACTTTTTTTCTTGATCATCAATTCCAATGATTTTCTTTCCTTTATCTAGTTGAATTTGAGGAGCAACTGATGATTCTGCAGCATCATTTAATATTTTATTTAGATCCTCTGAACTTTCCTCATTTCTTCTTGATTCATTTTCTAGCCGATTCTTCTGATTAACAAAAGAATTCGGAGGCGGTTGTGTCAGACTCTGCAAAAATAATTTGCTGCTACTATTTAAAAAATATAAACAAAATATTATTAAGTTTTCCCCTCTTAATCCTACAAAATCTCATAGGGTATTAAGATATCCTTCTTCACTTTTATTGCTTCAATCCACAGAATCTATTAGCAAATTACAAAATTATATTCTTTAAATTGTTAGTTAATTATCCTTAGTAAATTATCCGTAAATCAAAAAAATAATGACAAGGGCAGCAGTAAATGATTTTTGCAGAAATGCCTTTTGCGGACAGCGAGCTGGACTTTTACCGTCTGTGGAATATCAAATTCATTTCCTTCCTCTTTATCAAATTGTAGTTCTTTTTCTAGAATTTCTTTTTCATTTTTCTTCTTTAAACGGTATTCTCGTTGATATTCTAGCGATCTTTCTCTATTCTTTTGGTATTGCTTTTTTCTATATTGGATGCGCTTTTCTTTAAAAGTTTCAGTTTCTTTATTTTTTAAATACAAATTTCGTTGATCCTCACATATCTTTTCCTTATTTTTCTGGTAGTACTTTCTTATAGTTTCCTTTCTTTTTAACTTTTTTTCTTCTTCATTATTTCCAGTTGGTTTCTTCTTTGTTACTTTAGGTTTTATTTTTAATGTTTCTTCAGATATTTGAATTTGAGGCGCAACCGATGATTCAGCCCCTTCATTTAATATGTAAGTTAAATCCTTTGAAGTTTCCTCAACTCCCTTTAACTCGTTTTGATTTTTATTATTTTTAACAGAATTAATTAAACTCAATAATATCGAATTGAAAATTAAAAAGAATAAAACAGTAATAAGTTTCATTCTAAATTAATTTTTAAATATGGAGTAAATATAAAATTATAATATTAACATAAATTTTTTAACGTTTTATACAAAAAAATGCTAGAATTTGTTTTTAATTTAAAACGGATATGACTTTTTTTGAAAGACAAGACGCGCACTAAAATTATTTACATATATCTTTGTAAAGGTCAACAAATCTAGTTATAAAGTGAAGATAAATAAATTGAGAAATCGAATTACATCATGTCTAGCAAGCATTTAAGTATTACCCGGATTTAATTAAATCAGGAAAATAATAAAAACAAATTTAAGTTTAAATTGAAGTTTGAAATCAGTTATTACTATTGCGTAATTAAAAACCAAATTTAAATGAATTTTGCTCAGTCTAACAATTCAACCAATTGTTTAATCAAAATAAAATTTCTTAAAGTTTATAGACAAAATCTAGCTAAAAAATTTAAGAGTGTGTTTTTGGTCCTCACATGTGTTTTTAAAATTTTTAATTTATTTAAAATTTTAAAGTATTGTTGCTAAATAAAAAATAGTTCATTTAATTTCTCATGTTAATATTCTTTAAATTCAATGTAGAGTGAATAAAATCTAAATTATCCCTTCATAAGATTTTATATCAAAATGAATTTAACTATGTATTAACATTTAATATTTATAAATGAAAATGCTCTGATCGGAAATTAAAGAAATCATCCACTAATTGATAAAATTAAATAAGACACGCAGGGATATGCTAATTATAATAACTTTAAAATTTTAAAGTATTAGGATTTGTGTTTAAAATAAAAAATTGTATCTGTCGTCAAACATTGGCGACTTTAGGTTTAGAGTAATAACTTAGATTTAGTCGTAGACTTAGAAAAAAGTCTTAGACTTAGAATATAAATTGTCTTATTTTTAAAATTTAAATTTTATTTACTTTTAAAACTACATACTTTATAGAGTTTAATTAATTCTGTTAAAATAATACATAAAACTCAAAGGATTTGAAGAAAATAGATGTGGCTGAATCACTAAAGACCTTCAAAAAAGATGATTGTGAAAATAAAGGAAATGATCCGATTTTTTACAAAGATAACATTCAATTAGATCAAGGAAATCGTTTTCATCAAATAGAAGCTAGGTCTCCAATTGAAGCACAGTCCTTAATAGAAGCACACCCTACAAGAAGATCAAAAAATAGAAGAACGCGTGCTTCAATTAGAGAATTTACGGGGGTACACCCCAAGGTACCGCAAGGCCAAGGTACCGCCGAGCTATAACTTTGTTCAAAATTGTCGAATCCGGGACGCCGTGATATGGTTCGATGCGTCTCGACGAGCTGAATCGAACCATACCAGGGCGTCCCGGATTCGACAATTTTGAAAAAAGTTATAGCTCGGCGGTACCTTGGGCTCGCGGTACCTTGGCCTGCTCCCAATTTACGGTATACATATGTATTATTTTCTCAATATTAAACATATATATAATTTCGCCTTTTACACTTTTGGTGTGCCAAAATCAGATCCCCAAGCTTCAATCTTGCATTCATTAATTCCTTGGGCAATCATAAATACTCCATTCATTCCCCATTGTTTTCCCCATGAATTAATAGCAAGCCAAAATGGTTGAACATTTCCTGAACATGTTTGAGTTCCCCAACCAATTATACGAATTGAGTGTGATGATATAAAATTGCCATTAGTCCTCTTAAATTTAATTAATTGTGCTTAAATTTCACATAAAAATATATTTTTATTTTTACTAGCGAAGAGACTCGCCCTTCGAGCGAGTTTCTTCGCTAGACTAAAACAATGCAACCTCTTGCTATTTTATCAACTATTGCCGGAATTTTATCTAAACCATGATCTAAACCATAGTGTCATTAATCACGAAGCGCTTCTCACGATCAAGAGGAAATTTTTTTCTATCAAGAACTCTTTTCATTCAAAGGCAGCACATCTTATCTACACATTCCGGGGCTTTTATCTACACTTTGCTGGAACTATTATCTACCCATTGCCATTATCTACCAATTGCTACCCATTGTCTTAACTCATATAAAAATTGCCAGAATTTTTATCTACCCATTGGCAGGATAAGGCAGGTTAAGCAATATATTACCTTATATACTCCTTCTCCATAATGGTAGAAATCAGAATAAACATCAATCGCAGCCGTAATTGTACCGTTTGCTTTAATTTCATCTTGCATTGCCTTAACAACCTCAGTAATTTTCTTATCCCCTGGAATCCCTCCAGTCCATATTACTAAAGATATTTTAAGAATACGAGTGATATAAATAAATACCAAATTTTTTATCATTTTTATATGGAATTGACCATCCTGAATTGGTACATTGCGAGACACATTTAGGTGTAGGAACTGGACCATCAGTTTCTGGATTGATTGAGTAAGGCTTGCAACCAGTTTTTTCTTCAAAATTTGATCCAGAGACAACACCTTTATTTTTCATGTATTGCCATGCATCCCATGGAGCTCCTCCATTACACCTAAACATGTTTTTATTAAGTAAATTTTTTAAGCCTCTAACCCGTAATTTGGTAATGTACAGCTTAGTATTTCCTCATCAGATGATTGATTATCAGGATCAGAGACTGGCGTTTTTAAGCCTTTCTTAGCTCTCTCAATACAGTACCGATCAGTAAACACAGATGAACTTGCAACTGCCCAACACCCCGAACATTGGCCCTGTTCTCTAATAATGTTAATTATATCTGCACATTGTGGCCATTGTTTTCTTGAATCAAATTCGATATTGTATTTACAGGAGGGATTTGAACGCTTTGATCGTATTTTGCTCATTTTATTAAAATCCGGTATAGCTGCAGGAGTCTTGGGTGATTTTGACTTTAGACCACAATATAATTTTTTAACGTCTAATGTCATATTTGCAAATTTTTCGTTTATTTTTGCCTGAATAAAATATTAAATTAAAGCATTACTAAATTACCTTCCAGGAAAAATCGAGTAAATTAAATGATTCAACAAAAGATTCAAGATCTTTATCGATATCAAAGTCTAACTCAAAATTTTTTTCAAACATATCAAATTTATCAGATTGAAAAGTATCTTGTATGAGACAAAACAATACAAAGGTAAGAAGACAATGTTGTACATTCTGAAACAACTCGAATTTGTTATTTAATTGTAATCATTTTTAAACAGCTGTCAATAATTCCCTTTCTTAAAATACCAAATATGAGGATTGGCCAATCAAACCAAAAAACCACTTTTATTTTAACTTTACTTTTCCTTATCCCGTTTTTTTATTTGATAAGTAAATAAAGAAATTAATACATATATTTATATTTAATTTTTAAATAAGAGGTTTAGGGCATGTCGGATCCTCCATTCAGAGACGGAACCGACCCGATGCTCGGCGACAATAATGAATCGGAGCCGTTTAATTACAGAATTTTTAACAGGTAATCAATTTTAATAAAGCTGTTTAATTTATTCTATGTATAATGAGCTATAACGAGTATTAGATGAGGCTTGAGATTTTCACAGTATTTTAAAAAAATAACTAACCATGTTTTAATTTAATTAAGCAACAAATAATTAAATAAAGGTTGGGGTTATAATTATTTTATTCTTACAATGTATATTAAATAATCCATTTAAAGCTTAATGCACGTGGTTTCTACATGCAATTTTAAAAATTAAGTAAAAAGATGATCAAATAATAAACACAAGTTTCTATTAAATTATCAAACGCTTTCGATGCTAGCATATTCATTCGTGGCCTACCACATTTAAGGATTTGCGTCAGTGTAAGCGAAGGATTCCTTTTTTAAATATACCATGTAAAATAAGCAACGTCAAAGGAAAATATAGATTTGCCACATGTCTTTTAAGCATACGAAATATCATCGCTAATATGTATAGAATGGAATAACCCTTCAGCGAGTGAGATTTCCTCTCATTCCCGAAGCCAAGATATACCAAACTTTTGAGTTATTAAGCGAAGCGTTTGCCTTGGCTATAAATAAATAATCAAATTTAAGCTTATTACACCGAGGCTTATATGACTTATATGCCTCTTAAAAAAATTATAAACTACGAATCAAATAGTAAATATAAAAATTTTATAAAATTTTATTCAAGCTAAAAACTTTAATGGCTTTCCACTTATGCGTTAGCATGTGAAAAAGATTAATCAATATTTAATAAAAACCGAAATCCCAGTTTGGTAAAATATTAAGATGTTTATATAATATATCTAGCATGTGAATTTCACTTCATCTTAACATTTTGATGTGATGTGGATATCGTTTTGTACCGTTTGTGTGATTTCTGCTGTGGATGAGAATGAAAAAAAAGAAAAAGAAAAAAAAACTTTCATTCAAGAAAAAATGAATGAAGTATAGGGTATTTTTAAGAATTTGCATGGATTAATGGAAATTTGAGGAAATATTGGAGGATTTCGATGTATGTATCAAGCGTTATATTGGTATATCGGTGATTTGATATCTAGGGATCTGATGTTGTTAACGATACTTCGAAGAAATTCGGGGATCAAAGGGAACCATGACCGAAGCATGATTTTTCAATATTGTTTGTATATTTATATACTATTTAGCAATATTCTATTAATTCTATAAAATATATTTCTACCATAAATTGATAATTATTTATGTCTGTTTCGTTTAATTTTTGAAATAAAATATTTACTACCTACTTCTATTTTTAAAGATGCACTTAAAATGTTTGGGAAAATGTCCTTTAACATGATTTTCCCATATTTTGATATATCCTTTCGAGACGATATTTAGCAATATTGACCTTTTATTTACTATGAAATACTTTCATTATAAAATATTTACACAATACATACATAGATATATGGGAATATTTATATTTTTTAAAATTTTTAATTAAATTTACATTTATATTAAAATAATTTTTAAATTAATTTATGATGAAACTGATAAGTGTTTTAACATTTTTAATTTTCAATTCGATATTATGGAGTTTAATTAATTCTGTTAAAAATAATAAAAATCAAAACGAATTAAATAGAGTTGAGGAACCCTCAAAGGATTTAAATAAAATATTTAATGATGGGGCTGAATCATCGGTTGTTCCTCAAGTTCATGAATATAAAGAAAAGTTGAATTCTGAAACTAAAATGTCAAACAATGAAACTTCTGCAGATATTTATGAAGAAAAAAAGTTAAAGAAAAAAGAATATATGAAGAATTACTACCAGAATAATAAATCAAAGAAGAGGGTATATGATCGAAATTATAACCAAAATAATAAAGAAAAAAGACTAAAACTCAATGAAATTAATAAGGAAACGAAAAGAAAACACAATAAAGAATACTATCAGAAAAACAAAGAAAAGTTAGATGCAAATCGGAAAGCAAATCGGAAAAATAAGAATAATAAAGGAAGGAAAAGCGGTGAAGGAACTTCGTTTGCCAATCCACAGAATAAAGAATGGGAAAATAAAGGTAGAGAGCCGATTGTCTCGAAAGAAAACCTTCAGTTAGAGCAAGGGGTTATTCATGAAGGAGGAAATTCGTTTAATTTACAAGAGGATAATTGTGAAGATAATTCAATGAATTTCCATAATGTTCAAGAAAATGTTCATGATGGACATCGCAATCAACAAAATACTGATTGGAATGATTTTGATACTATGAATCTTTTAGAAGATACGAAATTTCTGGATTATTTGAATGAAATTCTTGGATCAAAAAGTGGTTGATAATTTTTATATTAATTAAATACATGAATCCTTTATTTTCTATAGTTATTTCTATTTAACATTTTCTTGCAGTAATCTTTAAGTAAATACTAAAAATATTATTTTTGATTCTTAATCTTAAAGTGAATGGAACTCCTTTTCTTTCTGTACACAATACATTGTAATTATTTCATTTTATTCAAATTTCTTAAACTTTAATAATTTTATATTGTATTTTTTAGCTTGTATGATTTAAATAAAAAAAATAAAATTCTTATCCTAGTAGTTTTTTGGCATCGTTGATATTAAAGTATAAGAACAGTAATAATTTTTTCGATTTAATTTGCCACAGGGATTTAATAAAGAAAAAGTACCGTATTTCCGTTAATAGAATGCCTGGTCATTCCTTCTTAAATAACCTTCCAATGGGGCTTTCTATTAGAAAGGGGAGACAAATCAAAGGGGTAAGGTATTTTTGATTAGTAAATTTAAAATTCGAAAAAATTTTCTACTATGTTTGAAAAATACTAGAATCGAATTCGAAATCGAAGATAATATTTTAGATTCGAGACATATTTTTCTAAAATAATCTAAAATTATTTCATTCATATCTTACTTTTATTATTTTTTATAATTTAAATTTGTGATATAGAGTGTATATTGAAAGAGAAAAACCGCATTAGTTTGTTCGATGTTTTTTAGCCGTAGGGATTGAATAAAGTGGATTTAGGGTAATGAGAAATTTTTTTCTTCGCGCATTACTGCGAGAAAGGAATAAAAAAAGGAAAAGTGGCTAAAATTTGTTCAAACGACGGCGGATTTGATCGACAAAAATTGAAGGAAGGCTTTTTCTTCTTTTCTCATTGATTTATTTATTAAGCTACCGGTCATTTCAAGGAGCCATTTTATTTAAAAAATAATTTATTTTAGTTTTAATTTAGTAAGCTAATTTAGTAAGCCCTCCCATAAGAAATCTGAAAATTTCTTTAATTATGACTTCATCTCCATGTTTTTTTGTTATTTCATCGCAACTGAATTAATAATATACACTGTTCCTTACCATATCTGAAACCAGGCAGAAATTTTTTTGATAAAACCGTTTCTAATCTACAGTAAGGATATGTCCTTACATATACACATGTTTTCACCTCGACAAAGCCCGTGCACGATTTTTTCAACCTCGACATGTTTAAGTCCATCTCCATCGTGATTTTAAGATTATTTATCTCCATCGTGATTTTAAAATTTTAGTTTATCTTACCTATTAGAAATTTAAAAAATTACTTCTACAGAAACATGTACCGAAATATTTTTAAAATTATTTTTCCGTTTATTATCATCGAGAACATATTTGCTTCATTTTGTGGCAAATCAGGCGTTCCCTACAGCCTTGAAATTCTCGCAAATGGAGCACCAGTTCTCGGCTGTGCCCAGCCAAGCTGTGTGATTTCTGCGGTGGATGAGAATGGAGATTTTCAAGAAGACAGTCAATTTCTTACGGATGCTAATGGACAATCTGATGGATTTTTCCGTGAAGGCGACAGGGCGGTGAAGCGTTATAGACATCCATCTGGTGCCAAAATAGTGGCAGTAAGTTATTGAAATATTAACTCTCATTCATTCAGTATTTTTGTGAAAAAAGAGCCTAAATTCGAAATAAATGTACCTTAGATTTTTAATTTCGAAATTTAATTGTAGACTAATAGGTTATTTTTCCCAATTTCGTTATTGGCTGATATCTGCTGCAACAAAAATTTACCGTTATAAAGAATCATTCAAAAATAACTCAATTTCCATATTCCTAAATTATTTACACATTGTTCGCCTACATTAAGTCTCTAGCGTAAGAGTTAAGCATTAATTACTAAGTGTTATTATTAGCGAAGTTTTCTAGTTTATCTTTGAATTATAGCTCAATTTATATTTCTATAGAATTGCTCTGGTCAATTCAACGAACTTTCTTGCCCACGCCGTAATCAATGGGTTGGAGGGATCGAATATATTGATCACCCAAGACAACCGTAAATTTTTTAAAAATTTTATTAGAAATCTGTAATTTATCTGAGATAAGTAAAATTGATATGGATAGATGGATAAAACAAAACTTATGAATACTTTGAATAATTTATCAGACTAGTTTTGCAATGCTGCACCTTTGAAGGCCTTCGCTTCTCACAGGAAGTAGGCTCGACAAGCATTGGTCCAGGTGAAGCAATTACTGGCGGAGAGGTTGTGAGGGGTGGAAGGCAAATTTCTTTCGATGTAATTGCTAATGTTAGAAAAATTGTTAAGCATGGAGAGGGACCGGAAGGAAGCAAGATGTCTTATGAGGTGTGTTTATATGAAAAATAAATAGGTGAATGGAATAATCTAATTATTTTTAATGTTTAATATTTTTCAAAAAATTAAAAAATACACCTTCTTAAGGTTACTGTACGCCGAATGAATTGTTTGCCTGATCCACCCGAGACAGAAGTTGAATGTAATTAATTAAAAAAATTCTTCTGTTATATTTAATAAAAATTACAGTTGATTTGGATGTTGCCGGTGAAGTTAGCAAGATTTTGGTTGGCGCTGGCAATAAAGAAATCACAGACAAATTAAATGAAGGAAAGAAACAACAACAAATCTCTCCCAAATTTAGAAATGAGAAACAAAAACAAAAAATTGAGAAATTGCCAGAAATTAATGGAGGGGAAAATAGGAAGTTTTTAGCCCCAAACAACGTCCATCCTCGCATAATGGCTCCATCTTCTCGAAATTTGCAACAATTTATTGGGCAAAATTTGGGGAATAATATTGAGGAATTACCTCAGTCTCAACAACAATATCAAAATTTAAATAATCAACAACAATTTGTTGAACAACAAGGATTTCAACAACAGCAACAACAATTCCCTCCTTCTCAACAATTTCCTTCTCAATTAGTTTCGGAGGGTCAAAGAGTAGGAGAACAAGTATTTCAAGTAAGGCATTAATAGTATAATTATTAGGGCTGTAATATTTGTGCGAAATTACAATATAGCTATAGGTATCAGGGTTGCCGCGGGTACAAAAAATCTTCGGGTACGGGTTTCGAGTATCGGGTTCGAGCGTTTTATTTCGGGTCACGGGTTGGAAAATTTTCTTTTCAGGTTACGAGTTCCGGGACAAAAAAGGCCGGGTATCGGGTTTCGGGCGGCAACCCTGATAGGTATAACGGTATGTTAAAAAGAACTTAAAATTGCGCGGACACTAAAAATTAATTAATTATGTCCTATTTATGCAAATAAAATTTAAAAATATTATCAAAAAATTTCAATATAAAGAAATTAAATAGAAGCTAGCATTGCAAGTTGAAACTCCGTTTCTAGAAGAATTCGCTTCCCTTATAAGGTGTCATGTCCGAGCTTTACCTTAGAAAACTAAATACTTAAGTGTATTAGATTTGTATCTCAGATTTACTGAGGATACCGTAGTGCGACACTTGCGGACCGACTTTTGCGGACCGACCTTTGCGGACGGACATTTGCGGATTGCGGATAGACATTTGCGGATCAGACATTTGCGGACGACATTTGCGGATTGCGGACCGACTTTTGCGGATCGGACATTTGCGGACCGTTTTTGGGAAAAAAATTTACAAAATTAAATTTAATTTTCGAAAACGAAAAAAATATTTAGGTAAGTTTATTTTAATATCTTTTCGATCTAACAAGTTAGACAAAGTTATGATCGTTTATTTTAGAAAAAAAAATCAAACTCTCAGATATACTGGGAAAAAAGCCCAAATAATAAATATAAATTTATTTTCTATAAATATACAAGCAAATGGTCAATGGAGAAAAGGGGCGAGAGAAAAGGTCTCTCACTAAGGGCGTCTCTCACTAAGGAGGTCTCTCGTTAAGGAGGTTAAAAATACGGAAATAAGTTGGGGTTTATATACAAGAGAAGAAGGGTGGAGAAGGTAAAAAAAGGGCAAAGTAAAATGATGATAAGCAATAGTTAAAAGTTGGGTATTTGAATATATAAAACGATTATAAAATGATGAGTGGTAAAGACAGGAAATATATGAATATGGCGTGAAAATGCAAAATAAATAAAATAAATATGTCAGACAAATTTAAATATATTTTTCTTAATCACGGACATTACACAAGGATTATACTCTCATAAACATTACCAAACATGAGATAGATAAATAATACCTAATAATCTCGAAAGTTAATCTTGTAAATTAATTCGACAATTTTTTTCAATAAACCTTGATAGAAAACAAAAAGAAACATGTTATTGAAATGAAAAATATTTCAGAAATTAAATGAAAAAATTTACATTTGCACAAAAATTTTGGAAAATTAAATTAAGAAAAATAAATATGAAAAAATATCTGTATATCATTTTATAGAACAGTTCCATAAAGCTATAATTATGTAAAGCAAAGATCAAATATAGAGAACGGAAAGATATATTCTTTGTGTTTCTTATTTAAAATTCATCCATTTGTTTATCTGAAGTGTCTTCAGGAATTAAGAATAGAATTTAAATAATCCAAAAAATCCGAATCATCCAATAAACTCAGATCAATTAAATCATCATGAGCATCGAATTGTTGATTATGAGGACATTAGCTGATTGAACATTTGGTTGTCCATAAGCGAAAGCATTTGTGTCAGATAAATTAGTTGCACCCTCATCCTTCTGTGGATTAATAAATGAGTTCCTTCAGCATTATCATTTTCTTCCACATTATGAGAAGATTGAATAGGAGTATCTTCTCCTTTTTCAGCATTATCATTCACTTCCACATCTTCTCCTTTTTCTAACTGGATATTCACTTTAGAGACAATCGGTTCCTTTTCTTTACTTTCACAATTATTATTTTGTTTATTAGGTATTCCATCGTTAGATTGAATATCTGTTAATTTTGAATTAATATCCTGCAGAATTTCCAATTTATTTTTTCGTAACTTTTCTATATTTTCTTTTATACGCCGTGTATTTTCGACTATCTTCACACTTCTTTTCTTTATTCTTTTGATAGTAATTTTTATTATATCCTTGTTCCTTAACTTTTTTTCTGGTCCATCATTTTTAGTTTCAATTTTATATTTTTCATTTTGAGAAGAAATTCCATTTTCATAAACGTTACTCTGTGGATTAACAAATGAAGTTCCTTCATTATTATTGGATTGAATGCCTCTTAACATTGAAATTTCATTTTTTAGATTTTCCATCTCACTTTTCTTTTTTTCTCGGTATTTTCGACTATATTGTCTATTCTTATCTTTATTCTTTTGTCGATAATTTCGAAGATATTCTTTCATCTTTTCTTTATTCTTTTGGTTGTAATCATTGTCATATTCTTTTTCCTTTATCTTTTTTCTACCAATTTATTTTCATTCTTGTAGATTTTAATAATTTTTGGTTTTAGTTTTAATATTTCTTTATAATTTTGATTATGAGGAGCAACAGACGATTCAGCCCCGTCTTTCAATATAAATCCTTTGAAGTTTCCTCAAGCTCATTTTGATTTTTATTATTTTTAACAGAATTAATTAAACTCCATAATATCGAATTGAAAATTAAAAGGATTAAAACACTCAAAAGATTCATCCGAAATAAATAATAAAAATTTATTTAAGATTAATTTAAGTTATTCTTCTTTATTCTAAGCTTAATTATATTTTATTTATATAAATTTCATCTAGACATATATCTAAATATTACTTAATATCTTTCAAAATCATAAAGGGCAACTGCTAGACATAATATCTTTCAAAAGCTCATTTTGGCTTTTAAAATTTTTAAAAATATGGAAAATAACAGATATCGTTGAATTGTAAGTGCACTTTTGAAAAATATTTTTAAGATATTTTTATTTGTATTATACATAAAGGGCAAAATTTGAAGTAATAATGATGAAATTTGAAAAGAAATGAAATACAAGTAAATAAAATCAAAAGACCCGGTTCGAATCCGAAGCAATATTTTGCCGCGAACTATGTGCCGCGAACCAGCTATAATTATGTAAAGAAAAGATCAAATATAGAGAACGGGAAGATATATTTTTTGTATTTTCTTATTTAAAATTCATCCATTTGTTTATCCGAAATTTCTTCAGGAATTAAGAATAGAATTTAAATAATCCAAAAAATCCAAATCATCCAATAAACTCATATCAATTAAATTATCATGATCATCCATTTGAGTATGAAGGCTGTCAGGCAGTTGAACATTTGGGTGTCCATAAGGGCAAGCATTTGTGTCAGTTAAATTATTTACACAATCATCCGTTTGTGGATTAACACATAAAGTTCCTTCAGCATTTTCGTTTCCTTCCTTATTATTTATCTGAACATTCTCGTTACATTCAATTGGCGATTTACCTTTATTAATAGTATAATTATCATTTTGTGTATTTTCATTTTTCGCTAACTTCTGTCCGTCCTCATTATTTCCCGTACTTTCCTTTCTAATAAAATCATCGTTTTGTGGATTAACAAAAGAAGTTCCTTCATTATTATCAGGTTGAATCTTTCCTAATTCTGTCATATCCTTTTGTAGGATTTCTCTTTCCTTTTTCTTCTTTAGACGGTATTTTCGTTGATATTCGTTAAGCTTTTCTTTATTATTTTGTTGGTATTTTCGTTTATTTTGAACCACTCTATCTCTATTCTTCAGATAGTAATCTTTACTATATTGTAGCTTCTTTTCTTTATTATTTTGGTAGTAACTTCGAACATATTTTCGACTTATCTCTTTTTGATTTGGAGAGCTCCTCTTTTCTTTTAATTTGTCTTTGTTCGTTAGCTTATAATTTCGATTATAATCATGTTTCTCCTTTTTGTGTTGCTGATAGTAACCCTTATTATATTCATTTTTCTTTAACTTCGTTTCTTCTTCATTATTTTCAGTTCTGTGCTTTTTTGTAATTTTGGTATTTATCTTTAAAGTTTCTCTAAATTTTTCAATCTGGGGAACAACCGATGATTCAGCCCCATCATTTAATATTTTATTTAAATCCTTTGATGGTTCCTCAACTCTAGTTAACTCGTTTTGATTTTTATTATTTTTAACAGAATTAATTAAAATCCATAATATTGAATTGAAAATTAAAAAGATTAAAACATTAATAAATTTCATTCTAAATTAATATTTTTATTAATTTTTAAAAATTAATTTAAAGAATTAACCTAAAATAATAAATTTAATTTGACTTTATGTAAAAGAAAATATAGTTAAAATATGTAATACAAGTAAATTATTATTTAATGACGAAATATTTTCAATTAATCCCAGACATTTTAATATACACTTATTCTAAGAGAGGAAAGTGCATTTCCTAATAATTTTTTAATCTGATGAAATCCATTTTCTATTGCCTTTTTATTTAAATATTTTTTTTCTTTCTTTAACTTGATTTATTTATCAAATATTGAAAGTAAATTTTAGAATTTTTGACTAAAGGGAATGAATATTCATGGATTGCTGTAATTGGAGAGCCTCTTTAAAATAGCACCAACTTTAGATTTAATGTATGTATTATGGGGCTAGATATATTTCAAAAATAATGTATCTTAGTTGATCTAATAAAGCAAATCTTTAAGGGGTTGACTCTTGGAAGAGTAAAAGCTTCGTTATCATTAAATTAAAATCATTTTCTGCCAAGCTCTTATTTAAATTCATTATTCTTCATTTAATTTGCTTTATTCAAAAAAATATTTGTCGGAAATGTACTTTCATTTCCATGAATATTAATTCCCTTTAGTCAAAGATTTTAGAATTTTTCTTTCAATATCTGATAAATAAATCAAATTAAAGAAAGAAAGAAAAATATATTTAAATAAAAAGGCAATAGAAATTGGATTTATCAATTTCATAAGCCTGATTGACCTTTATAACTATATAAATCTACATATATATTTTCTCTTATCAAATGAAATAAAGCTTTTTCAAAATTATATTTTTTAATTCAAAAGTAAAATTTTTGGGAAAT